GGTTGAAGATTGCAGTTTGCAAATTTGAGGTTTAAGGTTATGATTTAGTGTTTCAGCATGGCAGTTCGAGAAACCCTAATGGTAAATTTGGAAGTAAGAATTCCCGTTAGTCTCAGAGTGCAGAGGATATTGAAGTTTGGAAGTTGTACAGAAGCTATATCCAAAGTTTGGAGTGTCACGTATCGAGTTAAAAATGTTCAGTTCGCAGCTACAAGGATTTTAAATTGACCTTAACCAAAGTCGGGGGTTGGGAGTGGGGGAAATTGCTTTTATCCTACATGGATAGTTCTCGATGAAAGTAATCAATTTCTGCCAAGCATAGTCCTCCTAGACCCCTTATGCGTATACGGTTATAATTCCTGATATCTCAACAACGAAATGTGAGAGGAAAGTACTCACAATGGGCGATTGGGACATCTGTAAGAAAAATATCTATTGGTGCTGTCAAAATTTTAAGAGCGAATATCTCCAAAGCGGTATGTCTCAGAAGGTCAAGATGAATCGTGTGGGCTGACACATATGTATTGGTGAAGTCGAAGCGACTGGTGATTATGTTAAAAAGATGTCGATACACTTTGTATATTTAAATTCTTTGTTGTTAACCAATGTCCATACCGAAACAGTTTTTGGAGAAATTGCAGAAAGAGGTGTATATTTTTAAGTAAAAAATGACCTCCTTCCAAACAAAATCGACCTGTTTTTGCACTTTTTCCGAGTACTATTTCTATGCGAGTATTCAGTTTCGTTTTCGTTGTGCCACCCTGTATTAATACATAAACCTTAAGAGAACATTCCCTTGAAGAGAGCCACTTTTTCAGGATGCAGTCTGTTCACTGTTCAACAATTTATTTATTTATTTATTTATTTATTTATTTATTTATTTATTTATTTATTTATTTATTTATTTATTTATTTATTTATTTATTTATTTATTTATTTATTATTCTCTTCTTCTGGGTCCTCAACAAGCAATTACAGAATGACACGCATAATGCGTTTTAGAGGGATGCGTATATGGCGATATAAACATTTTTTATCCCTGAACCAGGTAAAGGTGACTATTCTACACCTGAATCGTATCGTTATATTAGTCTGATTTCTTCTCTTCCTAAGACTTTTGAGGGGTTACGTGCGACATATATACGGGTTGAAAATATTGTCTGCAACAACTCGATAAATAAACTACGTCACGCAGACGTTATTTTGGTTTCGGCACCTTCAATAAGGTTGGGCCACCCTGTATGTGAAATAATTTCAATTTTTTTAGAGCATTTTTGAAAAATTATGCTTGAAGCTTGTACCAAACGGTATTCAAACTTTGTTGTCTTAAGCAGGACACTCCCATTAATTATTTTCCGAGATGCATACCTTTTACATGGGACAACCAATTGTTCTCAGACTTTGCATACGCATAGGGCATTAGTTATCTTTCATGGTATTCTAATTAAAGGTCTCAACAAAAGAAACTAATCTCTATCAACTACGCCCATCTTTGTGGCCCATTATCAAAATAGGAGATGGGGGGGGGGGGATACTTTTATCCTTCATGGTACTCTAATGAAAAGTATCAACGAAAGGAATTAATTTTACCAACCGTAGTCCTCCTATCTCAAGAACGGATTGTAGGAAGAGGGTACTCACAAAAAGCGATTGGGACGCCTGGAATAAATATATCCATTGGTGACGCTACAACTGTTAAGAGCGAATATTTAAAAAACGGTTTGTCGGAGACTCTATTGGTGAAATCTTGGCGAATATCTTGAAAACAAAGTGTCGGCATAGCGAGACGGTACTCATCAAAGACAAGTGAAACGTCTGGAATAAATATCTGCAGATCGGAGTGTCGGGGGAGCACACTCTCAAAGGGCGAAAAGATCGTCTAGACGAGACGATGTGAAAACTGAACTGTGAGTATTTCGAAAGAGGAAAGTACCTACAAAGAGAAAATGCAATATTTCGTGAGTCTCTCAAAGGACTTGGTTCTTCTTCCATTATACAGCGCAGATTTTGAATGTATGTTATTATCAGGCTAAATTTAATTAACGCACGTGTTCTTCTGCTGGAAGTGGCGTTTCGTTTAAATACTGAAGACGACGAGAAGACGTGGCATCATTTTTCAAGGCGGTTTGACAGCGTGTACATTTCTTGACGCCTAGATTTTGTCAGTCTGTTTTATGCGAAAACGTAATTCGTCGGTACCGAAAACAAGGTGTTTTAGAAGAAGTTAAGCAATCTTAGTAATAGATTCAAGTTGGTTACATCGACAAGTGAAATAGTAAAAGTTCGTGGAAAGTTTTTGAAACGCTTTGTCCGTATTAGTGTTGAGTCATCCAAGCAGTTGCTGCATAGTGAAGCCTTCGACAAGGTTTGTCATTTATTAAAAGTAAAAGTATTATACCATCAGAAAAAAGTCATAAAATCTAATTCAACAAGTTCAGTGTTACCAAGAAGAAGTGAGGTTTCACGAAGCTGTCACAATTCTAAATTTAAAGGTAGATTTGTTTTGAGCTAGCTGGACAAGTGTTTTGTGGGTCGCTTAGTGACCATAGTTTGCCATTGCACACAGCAATACCTTTAAAACGAACAGTATTGTAAAGAAACTCTTTATGGTATCCAAAATTATTTATTATTATTGTATTAAAGGTCATTAAAAGTAAATCCACATGCCTAGAAACTATTTACAGTGGCGTGCGTCTAGACTCTAGAGAACTAAGAGGGTCATTTTTTTAATGGAAAACACTATTTTTCTTGCATTATTCCATTTTTTTTAATATGACCCCCGCTCCCACGCAGAAGTACACCATTGCCCACAGTAAAGTACGTAGATTATTAGCAAAACTTTTTTTAAATTGTGGATACCATAAAAGAACTTCTTTGCAAAAATTGTAATTTTGAAGATATATTTAGTGCTTGTAACAATATATTTTCTCCATTATGAATGTTCACGGTATATATTACTTGTTGGAGAACCCCCGTAACATCTAAAGCGGTTTGATATAGAGCTCCACCTATCGATGCAATTTTTTCACGCAAATTTTACGCGCAGGGGTTGGGAACTTCCTTTCACTTTCTGTTTCCGATAGTGTCATCGGTCGGCACGATTGACAAAAGCAGCTAATGGTGTGTTAATTTCATTAAGGTGGATTGTATATTTTCTATCTTTGAAGATTCACATGTATTGTTGTGACTTTGTAGGTTGGGTTATATTTCGAATTACACTTATCTCGCTATGAGGATATAAGGGGGGAATTTCAGACGCGGTGAGTAACCTGCCATTTTCATTACCGGGGATATTTTGATGCCTTTTACACTTCTACAATCTTACGGCTGAGACAACGTAAATTAATTAATTCACCATCGTTATGTTGATAATCATTATTTTCTGAGCACCCTCTTGTGGATTAGAGGTAGGTGCGATTGGAATTTACAGATGGGTGTTTAATGTACTCGTAGTACTTTTAGAGAGTTTTTCGGGTAGCCCTGCTGAAAAATACCAGTCCCAGTTCGAGGGTATACCAACTACAAGGGTGCAAATTATCATCGTAATTAGGAGCTGTAAGTGTTCACTCTTATCAGTTAAGATAAGGCCTTCCTGAGGAGCAGCCATTTATGCCATCCTCGGTTTCACACCTGCCATATGGACACTTGGGGAATTAACCAAGGCATATAACTAGCATTTGATTTCACTGTGAGTCTTCTCAGCTTTATCCAAGGAAAATACAGTATTTAAAGAAACTGGGTGGCGCTAAACCCTAGGGTAAGTTGTAAGGAGGTTGGGAAGATTATATACCTTACACCATTGAGTATTCACTCAACGCCTAAAGGAATCGACTTGCTGTGGAAGATCTCAGGCCTTTAAATTTTCCAACCCTCGGCCAACTGCTCGCTATGCGACGGGTTTGAGTTAATTAATTAATTCGATATCCGTTGTATCATAATCGGCATACCAGAGAGGTCTGAATTCGCACTTCACCAAGTGGTGGATCTTTTAGTTAGCTATAACCTCGCCTATAACCTTTTTGATAGGAGGTTAAGTTTCTTTGGAAATAGTGAAAAACCATTTTCCACCCTTAAAAGCTAATCCCCTTTCTTTTTAACTCCATTCGAATCGACTATAATTAATTACCTTTCCTGTCATACTCGCATTATCTTCTCAACGATTCTCAAGGTGTTACTAATTTTTATGATTTCTTGTCTATTTAAAGCTTTTTTGTACAAATGTATTTTTAAAATTGTGTAACACAACACTTCGAGACACGCGTGACAATCTCTTAATCACATATGGGGGAACAAAAAATATATACTAATTATAGACAAGTATAAGTATTTATATTTTTAGACCAGTGTTTTTCATTACATGTTGCAGTAGTGACTTAATTTTTTTTTGGTGCCGCTGAAGTAATGTCAAAATTTGGCAAAGCTAAGCTAGAATTTACTGAAATACCAAGCCAAAAAGTGAAGGGTATACACTTAATAATTTAATTAGCCCCAAGAAACCTCTCTATTAGTGTAACCGAAAACCAAAAGTAATATAGAAATAAAAGTATAATAAACTAATCAAAATTATGGCCTTTCTTTTCACTCGCTGACGCTGTTGTCGTGTCTAACATCCACGAAAATATGTTAAACATCATCGAAACACTAAAACGTACATCAAAACGTACTCTCCGTTAATTTATTACTCAATAACCCGATGTCCCTTTATTCAAATTTGTACCTATTAAACGAAGAAGAAAGAAAAAGGAATAAAGTACATCGTCGTTCCGTATAGAAACGGCAAGTTTCTCGCCCGTGTATCAGATACCTACATTGTGTACCTTGCCCATAAAATAGTCGCTTTACAATGAGTTGTGATTACGGTCAAGTGTGTGGTCTGAGATTACATGGTAATGGGATACAGAAGAAATTACTCTACGTGCATTTCCTTTAATCTTAGTACCACAGATAAAGGACTTTATAATTAGATCGACGTTATACGTTTATAATTGCCCTTAACGTACCTGGCAAATTGATTCCGGACATGAGAAGCTTCTCAGGAATATCCGTTATCCTTTTAGGCACTTCGATTTCTTCCACGCGCTTCCCTTGCAGATCTGAAACAATTTAAGGCGTTAGGTACAGTTTTGCACTTTGCTAAGGATAGTAAAGTAAGGATGTCGAGTATAGATACCTTTTATCCAAGTTTGAAATAAACAATGTACTAGTATGGCAAAAGAATGAGACCATATGCTTGACATTCACCAACTGACAATTCAGGGGTTTAGCTATACGTTTATAACAGAATTGCACGTTTATTTATAAATAAACAAAACTTTGTAACCACAAGATTTAATTATGGATTTCTCCCTTGAGATATGTACATTGTATGAGACGTTTCACTTTTATACAGCAGATTAGAATCTCAATCTGGAGAAATATTTCCCAGAGAGATTAATTGTGTGCGATAATTAATACTAATCATTTTTTAATTGCTGGGTCACTACAACCTACCCTAATACTATTGAAGCAAGTGCTAAAAATAAACAGAACTTGCCTTTTTACTACAATAAAAACTGCCCATTTTCATCCTCCCCATGTTGCTAAATCGTCCAGTCAAATTAGCTCCAAAAGTATTACTAAGTAAAGTTCATCGAATCATTTTCCGTATTTGGTAACAATGTTCTAAACCCGATCATCATAGGTTTTATAGTCATTGCATAATTAAATAAACAAATTTAAAATAACCATCATACGGTGGCGTTTTATTTATTCGGGGTTTACCGTTCGTATCTCGCTATAGTCGGAGCTATATAAGAGCGCGATTCGCAATGAACAAAGGCATTCCTGTTCCTAAAACCGCTGCTCTCGATTCTACGATGGTTAGCGCAAGATTTACAGTTTGTGTAACAACTAACAATGGGTCCTATGATCGCTTTCCGAGGGGAAAGAGCTCTATGGCATCATAAAGCATTTCAGGCGGAAGAAGAGGTCAGAAGAGGGGTATTATTATTATTCCGAAGACCATGGCCCAGTCGGTTAAGACCACCCAAGATTGTGTAACAGTTTATTTTCTCAAGTACGCAAAACTTACATTAGTTAGTTGAGGGTCACTGTAATTTTTGTTTGAGATTCGCTGTAACATCTAAATCGTATCTGTCATTTCGTTCCTTATTGGTGGATTCCTTCACGTAAGCCCAAAGGCATATTTGTGCTGTGCTCTTCCTTTTTCCGGTCTCATTCTTTCGACAAGCACGTTTCGGTTCAACACGCGAAGCGAAGTGTAGTATTAATCATCCGTGTGGGTATAATTGCACGATCTTTAATTACTATATCTTGGCGATTAAACCTATTGTGGGATTTCTCAGTGTTGTTTTGAACGAGTTCTGTCCAGTGTCTCCGGTCTGGAGGATATAATTTGGAACGCGAGTTGACCGCCATTTTGGTTGCGTTATTGTTATTTTTTGCATTCTTTTAGGTAGGTAGATTGTTGGGATCAGGGGGGTTGTTACTTGTTTCAGTTTCAGGTCCAAGTTGTGGATTTCTCATTTTAATTTTAAGTTTAATTTCATGCCAAGGGAATTTTTCATTTACACTTGATTGCGGTTATCAACACGAGTTTCTTATCAAGATATAATAATAATAATAATAATAATAATAATATATATATTTACTCCAAATTACATGGAATCCCATGGCCACAAATTCAGCAAAAGCTGCTCTTCCACATGCACCATGCACATAAATAAGTGGAGTAACCGAGTAACGTAAAAAATAACAAGTAACACTTTTTCAGCTAAAAATAAAACCTGTACATCATAGTGACATAAATATAAATAACTATTCCAATTGACAAATATTAAATAAGGAGACGTAAAATCACACGAGACAAATAAAAATGAAAAGGTAAGTAAAACAAAATCTTAACTTTGTGATGTAAATAGGATATTGAACATCTCAAACTTAAATTTTTCTCAAACTTCAATTTCAGACGGCGGCCATTTCGTTATGGAAGTTACGCGAAAGCAAGGACAACACTTAATCATTCTAACTCGTAATCTAAGGTTGTAGATAGCGAATTGAGTCACTAACTGGAATTCAAATACCGAACTAGTAACTAATTGGATAATTCCTCTACAAGGAACAATATTCGGAAAATTATAACGACAACTTTTGTAAAGGTTTTATGGTGGGTTTATGCTATCATTAGGTCATTAATAAATACCCAATAGAAACAAATGTATAGCTTGGTTGTTTAACGACGCACCAATAAACCTTTGATTCTATTGACTATACACTTCAGATTCAGATTCGCTCTCACCTCGGATCAACTGCCGAAATATGAACACCCCCACCCCAACTCCCAAAATTTGACCTTGCACCCAGGGGCCAACTTCCGAAATATAGCACCCCGAACCGGACTACCGAAATACCTACTCCGGGCGAACTGCCAAAATACGACCCGGGTCAACTACCGGAATTAGGCGATCCTCAGAATTCTCCTAGGCCAAAGTGCGCCAATAGCTACTCTTGTAGTCTCATTTAGGATATTTAAGATTTAAAATTTCGAGACATACTCCATACAGCCGAAGGAATAGCACTATGGAGAAAAATACGAAACGCTTTGTATACAGCAAATCCGTGTGAAAAGTTTGCCACTTTGACCGTTCTGCGCAGCGAGTACTTACAGATAGTAATAATTTTATTCTTTCTCGTACTAGCCATCAATCTTTGAATTTTATGTCACAATTTGTTATTATTTACATTTTGCATTAGATTTTGATATCGGTTTATTGTAGCATGGCGTGTTCCAAGCTTTTGTTTCTTTGTACCGTAATCTGAATCACGTTTTTTTGTATATTGTACAGGTGGTTATGCCGTTATGTCATTTTATGAAGTATTTATTTATGTATTCGTCACAGAGAAGATTATCTAGTGTGTTGTTGCCCTGTATGATTTCATTAACCGTTTATACCATGGAGGAAGCACCAAATACAGTTCCGATGTATGTGTGTATTCCTTTCCCTTCTCGTGCCCGCTGTTGGACGATATAATAATTAACGCTTCTTTTGTTTAGTATTTGGGTTCGCTTGTGTGATAATGGCCTTTACCTTGAATACTGCCTTGCATTCTGGCCTGCATTTTCTTGTGTTGAATTAATTTATTATGTCACTTGTATTATCTCGTTTTTTTAACTTGTTAATTGTGTGTTATGCCGTGTTGGTTATTTTTTCTGATTTTTCATGTGTAATATATTTCATTGTTCTTGTTTTTTATCGCACAAAACTCATAGTTTTGTTCAGTTCCTTTCCCGATTGTGTCTCACGTCCCAAAACATAAAAGAATTGGCCTATTATAACACAACGCAGGAGTTCTATTCGTATCACCCACTCCGCGTTGACTGCTACCGAGATTTGAAAGTGGCGCGAAACGTCTATCATTTTGAAATTGGTCTACATGTAATTTTTGCCAGAGTTGCCAACTGTAAGTATATGGTAAGTAAAAAGAATTATCATAGTCCTTGTGTGATATCGAAGGCTACCATATTCCCTTTGTCAGTATCCACTTCCGACGTCTCTGTAGAAGATTGCAAAAAAACTGAAAAATCTCCGGGTTAGTATAACACGCTCGGGGATGGCGCCTAGATGTCGCCGACCCCAGATCATGTAGCGCCGTCCCGAAAGTTGTTAATTACACGGCCACGGTAGGTACATGTATGTACACTCCTCGTCTTTTTCCTATCTTGTTTTAAAGTTTTAGTGAGTTTAAGTCAGTACCGACAAATGGAATGTGGTAGCCTCCGACAAGATCTTACTGATGGTGGAGTCAAAACTGGCCAATAGGGAATGATCTGCCACACAAAAATGCGTTGAAGTCCCTCTGATCTCACGGGAGAACTTTGATAATTTTTAAAATCGAATCCGGCACCATCGGCTAATACTAAAATTGTTGCATAAGGTGTTATGGTAGCCACCATTATTAAAACTTTGTTACCCATATACTGGTTAATGTAAACAACGCCAGGTGAACGTTATTTACGCTGAAATAATACCGAAGAAAATAAAGAGCCATCCTGTATGTGTGAATGTTCAAATTTAATTTAAATCTCTAGGATTTCATTACGAATAAGCACAGAATTGGTTTATTTCATCGGAATTTGTTATTCTAGTGTCTATTTTTCCATTTTGCATTTTCATTTTGAGATTGGCTGAAGTAGGAGTTTGGGACGTGTCCTGTTTAAAGACGAAATTAAAGAGAAAAATGGAGCTCGTTAGCCTAAGGCGACTGTCAAGCCGTATGCTGTTCACCTCGCGACGGGACCAAGAGCGTGTACGTCTTTGTACGCTAATTTTGTCAAGCAATTGACCTTTTTCGTTATTTGAAGACGCAGTTTCGTCGCAATCCGAATAATCTGTACAGATGCATTTAAGTTCAAGTTCGTGCAAAGTTGAATGCGGTTTGTCCGTTTACGGAAGTAGACTTTAGAAAAGAATGAAACTGTTTTAGATTTTTGTTTTTGTTTCATTAACAAAAGTTTAAAGTGTTTACCGTTTGGATAGCCATAAGAAAGGAATTTTGCCTTTCAATTCAACAAACCAGCTTGAGTGATTGAGTTCCGTGTAATAGTAAAGAAATCAAGTTTTTTGATGACGTCAACGAGTGTTTTTGTGTTAGTCTGAGTATCGCAAAACTGTTGTTTTGACCAGATCAAATGAATTGAACTCCAAGTAATTTTAAGACTTTCTTTGTTTATTTGTGTCGATCACCTGCATGTAACGGGATTGTAACCCTCGTTATTTCAAGGTTTTCTTGATGATTTATTGCGTTCCGGAAGAATTTGTACCATAGTGGTGGCCCCCCTTGACCATGCAGACGTACGCCACTGACCACAAATTGAAATCCCGTAGACTGGTAGCAAACTTTTTATAATTTGGGTACTACACAAATCTTTAAAAAAAATGTTGTTTTGAAGACATATTCAGCGTTCCAGACAAAATTTCCTCTGTATACAATTTTCACAGACTTGTTTCGGAAAATTAATCCACTCCTTGACACCTAACAATAACGGGGGTTTATTTACCATTTAAAAAACAAAAAAATTAGCAACCGCAAAGTT